CCGTAAGTCTTCGATCGGGGATTCTTATATAGCGAGTAAAGATGTATGTATCTAAACGTAAATTTACATGTCCATCCCCCGTGTAGCATTGCAGGCAAACCTATTGTGGCATCCACTGCTCAGACAACTCCACAACAGAGGCAATACAGAAGCCACTTGGTCTACGTATATTGCGGACGGCATACTCACATCGAGCTCGCACGAATCACATGTCAACTGCACGATTTTGCGAGATGTATTGTGTAATGCGCACCTGGCCCTGGAGTTCATTGCACAAGGCGCCATCGAACCGAAGCACGACGGCCGACCTGACCCCACACAGAGGGCCACCAGGTGATGGGCGCATGTTTCACCACCACTGCATAGGTAGGACGGGGGAGTAGAGGATGGGGAGGTCCTCCTCCTCTTCCTCCTCTTCCGAGCCAGACCCCCCTCCCTCCCCCCCCCCGTCCCGCCCAGTGTCGAACCGCCGAATACGAAAACGCTCACCATGCGGAGCGACGCGCTGGAGGATGGACCACTGTTGCCTCGCACGGGCCCTTGGGGCACTCTCTCAGATCTGAGCTCGGCGCCCGAGGCAGCCCCTTTTTATCCCTATCCACCTCAGGCTGCGCCAAGGGGGGTCACCACTGGGGGGGTCGCCAGCTTCTCTTGGAAATCGAGGTTCCAGGATGGAGAGTCGAGGGGTCGAGGATGTTCTTGGACGTTTCTTTGCGTTTTCGGGGCTCTGGGGGGCCCAGTTCCTCGAGGAAGTCTCGAGGAAGTGGCGTTTCCTCGAGGAAGTGGCGACCCCCCTAGTGGTGGCCCCCCTTTACACTGCCCCACCACCGCTTCGGGGGCCGTTCTCCCAGGGCCGCTGGAGCCTCGGAAGGAGGTAGGCCTGGACGTTTGAGAGGCCCACCGGGTTCTGATGTTTCCACACCGGCTGCGGACCTGGGAAATCGTCTTCGAAGTTGCGGGTATTGATATCTCCCAGCACCAGACCTCGCAATCTTGGGCGTGACTGGGACCCGAAAAAAAAAGTCACCGTTCTCTTCTCAAGACCTTGTATGACATGTTTTTCGATTGCAGGGGCGACCCGTGTAATTGGCCACGCAGCCCTGTTTGCCTTATGTTCGATTCGACTAGAAACCAAGCCTCCTTCCAATGGGCAGATGGGCAGATGAGGGGGAGGACGACGACTACGATGATGATGATGCTGATGCTGATGATGATGATGATGATGATGATGATGATGATGATGATGATGATGATGATGATGATGATGATGATGATGATGATGATGATGATGATGATGATGATGATGATGATGGCGACGGCGGCGACAGGGACGGTGACGACGTCGTCGTCGCCGACGACGGCGACGGCGACAGCGAACCATAATCAGCTCAGAATTCGTCTCCAGACAGGCCCCTCCCAGGGTCCATCCTCGCCAGCTCTCCGAGCCGCGCCAGGCCGTGGCGACCAGAACCCCCAGGAGGCTCCCGGGCAGGCCTCCCCAAAGAGCGAAGCCGCTGTCACCGTCGGCCACCCGCCGCGACGACGCCGTCGACGACGGCGACGACGACGAGGACGCGGCGCGAGCGGCGGCGAGACGCGGCGAGCGCCGGTGCGGCCCCCGCAGGCCGCGGGAGAGCGCGGGGGGCCGCGTGCCGCCGCGGGGGTGCGGCTCCTCGGGGGCGCGGCGCCCGGCTGGCCCCCCGCGGCGGGGGCGGCCTCGCCCCAGGCGCCGCGGGCGCCGCTGCGCTCAGAGGGGGAGGGAGGGGAGGGTGAGAAGGGTCTGCGTGGGAGGGAGGAGGAGAATGAGAATCGGCAAAGTCATGGTACTCCGCTGAGGAATCATAACAGCAACCATAAGGAGGAGACGAAGCATCACATTTCTGAGGAGGTGAACAAGACGAGTCCGAAGAATAAGACGATGATTCATAATCAGAAGAAGAGGAACAATGAGACGAACAATAATAAGAATAATAATAGTAAGAATAATAAGAACGAGGAGGAGGAGGAGGAGAAACATAATAAGAAGAAGAAGAAGAATAATAACGAGGAGGAGGAGGAGGAGGAGGAGGAGGACTATGATATGTCAAGGTGAGTGAACGGTGGGTTCGCGTCGTGTCGATCGCGGGCGACCCCCCCGCCTGCGGTCAACGTTGAGCGCCGGCGGCGGCCCAGAATCGGTCGATGTTGATGAATCCGACGTTTCGAGAACGACCGATCGTTCCAGGTGGAATGATCGGTCGTTTCGAGAACGACCGACGTTGATGATCCGACGTTTCGGGCGAATGGTCCCGACGAGAGCCAACTTATGGTGGTGGTGCTCTTAGGCCCTTCTCCGTGGGAGGAGCCGGGGAGTAGCATTCCTGCGTGCGCAGCGCATTCGAGACTGTCCCGATCTTTGGGCCTTAAAAAAACGACCCCCGCAGTGTCAAGAACAAACGCCGGGGTCGGCACGACACGAACCTGCCGCAACTGGCCTCCGGGGGGGCCATCGTCGCCACTT